GCTGCTCATATGGGATGCTGGTGTCACAAGTAGCAACTTAACCTGCTGTACCACAATGCCAGTCCCTGTAGAATTTTTTTTAAAGATTTTATTCATTTAGTTGAGAGGTAGAGTTACGGACAGAGAGAGGGAGAGACAGGGAGAAAGGTCTTCCATGCGCTGGTTCACTCCCCAAGTGGCTGCATTGGCCACAGCTGGGCAGATCCCAAGCCAGGAGCCAGGAGTTTCTTCCGGGTCTATCACATGGGTGCAGGGGCCCAAGCACTTGGACCATCTTCTACTGCTATCTCAGGCCATAGCAGAGAGCTGGATCGGAAGAGGAGCAGCTGGGACTCGAACCAGTGCTCATATGGGATGCTGGTGCTGCAGGCAGAGGCTTAGCCCACTATGCCACAGTGCCGGCAATGCCTCTGTAGAATTTTAAAAATGAGGAATATTTGGATAAAAATCTGTAGGATTTTTTCCCCCTCCCTTGAAAATTGAAAAGCTCCTCTTGCCCAGGGCTTGCTTGCTTTCTTGGTGACAGCAGTCAGCATCTCTTCCCTTTGGTTGAAGAAATGTGCTCAGATTTCCACTGCCTCTACTCTTCCCTACTACTCACATGCAAGCCCCTTCAACAGTTCCCATCACCTGATTCAGTTCTGTAGCCATGGCATCAGGATCATCTGTTCCAACTAGGAAAACACAGAGTGCTGGGCCCACTGGCTTTCTGTAAGGAGGAGGTGTCACTTCTCCATTTATTTCTGTATATGTGTGTATATAAGGGTACTTCAAAAACTTAGTGGGAAGTGGAATTCAAAGAGAGGTTTATTGTAGGGCAAAAAAAAAAAAATTGAAGTTCATGCATAGCTTTTTTTATGAACATTGTCCATGAACATGCTGAAGATCCTTCATATTCAAGGATTTCTATTTTTTTTTTGTACCAAGACAAGCTTATCTTTTAACTCCATTTTCCACTAGCTGTTTTAAGTACACTTTTATATACTAAATGCTCTTGTTATTTCTTCTCTCACTCAAAATGTCTCGACTTTGGGTTATTTCAGGCCGGCTCCTGTGCCCTTTCAGACCCTCGCTCCTCCTTTGTTTCTACTGCTTTCTTTAAGCACTTTCTGCCACCGTAAGATGCTGCAAACATATTTCCCTACTCCACACCTGAACGAATTAGTTCTCCAAGCAGCTCTTACTTCTCTTGTTGGAGAAAGGTCTTTAGAAACCAAAATCTGAGAGCTCAGTGTGTTCATCACTATTGGAGTGCTACTGCTTGTAGCCTCTCTCAGTGGACACAGCTAGGAAATATATATTTGCATGCTAGCTCACACATACATACACATACAGATGCATTTCTCTATCTTGTGAATGTATAGATAGATAGACAGATACATATATCATTAAAACTGTCCATATGGAAAACTTCAACTTAATTCTACCACCACAGAATCATACCAGAGTTTCAATCTTTGTATAGTTTAACATAATTGTTAGCGGTAGCTCAAGAACACTTGGATGTCTATTTTATAGTTATTACTAAAAACAAAAAACAAAGAAAAACAACAACAAATCTCAAACCAGTGCTCCTAAGGGATGCCGGTGTCACAGGTGGTGGCTTAACTCGCTGCACTATGATGCCGGGCAAAACAACAAATCTCAACCTTATGCTGTGTCCCCATTGACAAAACTGTTGGCATACCACCATGCTCAGTCTCCTTCACTGCCTCCTCCAGGCTTCTCAGTTTGGAGCACACAGCCCCACTGTTCCTGAAGGTGGGCACACCTGCTCTGTCTCCCTTCTCACACAAACACGACTTGTCTCAGGCCCTCCAGAACAATGCCTATTGTAATGCTGAGCTGGCACTTGTGCCTTCTAAATATAAGCCAAGGCACTTCTCAGAGATTGCAATCAGAACTTTGCTTTACATGTGAAATCTTATTTTGAATTCAGGTACACAATTACTCACTCATAGACTTAATTGCACTGCCTTAGGATAGCGTTAAAACAATGGTTTTAATTATTTTGGGGGGTGGCTTATGAAAGTAACCTGTTGTCTTTTTCAGGAAGGTGAAGGGAAACCTGTAGTCTCTTGGGGAAACTTTAGGAATACACATTAACCATCAGTTGTGAGGCTTCCTTGGGGTTCCTTTGTATTTGATCCGGAAGGAACCATACTTGGTAGTGGATGGGGTCCCCCCCATATCCTCAATGTAAATCTAGTAGTGCTTGATTGTGACTTTGCAAACTGTTTCGAGAACTGCAAAGAGAATCTAACCAGGATGGCTCCTGGGCTGCTGGAGGTGTGGCCCCTCCGTGGTTTGGAAAACACTCTGGGTTTTAAACAGCAACACCTATAATTATGGAGGCGTCATCCCTTCCATAAAAAAGAAAACAAAACAAAGAAAGCAAAGCCCTTCTACTAACAAGGTGTAGTCATAGCATGCGTTCAGCTTTCCCAAAACCTGTCTGGCATTTGTTCCTGGCCCAGTGGGGGGGTGGGGGGGGAATATCTTCCATCTTTCTCTGAGCTCTCATAAAACAATACAAAGGTAAACAATTGGAGGGCAATTAGCAGTCTCTTTGGGGTAACAGCAGAGAGAAGTCACCCTGTTATTAATGTCAAAGGAATTAATCACGGTTTACATAGGTGATTGAGTGGCTTAACTTTGCAAGTGGCTGAAAAACAAGGAACCAACAAAGTTTACAAAAGATGCCAGTTTGGAGAAACAGGTACAGCTGAGGACTTGCAGGGCTACCTGACAGGCTGATGCTGCTGCTGCCTGCTAAGGGGCTGCAGGCGGTGCTTCTGAAATTTGAATGTGTGTGACACATGGCTGGGCGGGTTTTCAAATGCTGGTTTTGACTCTGCAAGTCTAGGGTAGGCCTGAGATTCTGCTTTTTTTTTTTTTTTAAAGGTCTTCCTTCTGTTGGTTCACCCCTCACATGGCCGCCACAGCCAGTGCGCTGCGCTGATCCAAAGCCAGGAGCTAGGTGCCTCCTCCTGGTCTCCCATGTGGGTGCAGGGCCCAAGCACTTGGGCCATCCTCCACTGCACTCCCAGGCCACAGCAGAGAGCTGGCCTGGAAGAGGAGCAACCGGGACAGAATCCGTCGCCCCGGACCGGGACTAGAACCCGGTGTGCCGGCGCCGCTAGGCGGAGGATTAGCCTAGTGAGCCACGGCGCCGGCCAAGTTTTTGCATTTTTAACACACTGTCAGATGGTGCCCAGCTGAGGGCCAAGCGTATCTCATGTTATGTAGCCAGACGAGATTATTCCAGCACCTGCAGTGGGTGAGGTGGAGTCACCTATACTCTTCGTGACTCCAAGGTACCAACGTGTTGCACTGTGATTGCTTAGGGTGTAGGGGTTAAGAGTGAAGGTATTTGAGCAACCAGTTGGTTGTGTGTGCAGCTCACAAGGATTGTCACACATTGGGACCCAGAAGCACTGTATCATGCGGTTACCAGCAACCTGTTTTCACAAGGACCACTTTAGAAAAACACAGAAATATTGGCAGACCATGTCCAGTTTATTTATTTATTTTTAAAAGATTTATTTATTTATTTGAAAGGCAGAAATATATATATATATATATAGAGAGAGAGAGAGAGAGAGAGAGAGAGAGAGAGAGAGACGGAAATCTTCCATTTGCTGGTTCACTCCTCAAATGGCTAAAACAGCCAGGGCAGGGTCAGGCCAAAGCCAGGAGCCAGGAGCCAGGAGCCAGGAGCTGCTTCTTGGTTTCCCCTATGGGTGCAGGGGTCCACTGCTTTTCCCAGGCCATTAGCAGGGAGCTTGATGGGAAGTGGAACAGCCTTGCTGGTACTGCAGGTGGTGGCTTTATCAGCTACACCACAACATCAGTTATCTTTACAGAACTGTGTCCTTGAAAGAAAAAACAAAATGCAGGAAATGCAATCTTGGTAGCTAAGTCCCCACTCAATCATTTTTAAAAAGATTTATTTATTTATTTTGAAAGAGTTACACACAGAGAGGGGCAGACACAGAGAGAAATCTTCCATCCACTGGTTCACTCCCCAGATGGCCGTAACCGCCAGCACCGGGCCAGGCAGGCGCCAGGAGCCAGGAACTTTTAAAGTCTCCCATGTGAGTGCGGGGGCCCAAGCACTTGGGCCATCTTCTGCTACTTTCTCCAGTCCATTAGCAGAGAGCTGGATGGGGAAGTGGAGCAGCCAGGATGTGAAACAGCACCCATTTGGGATTCCAGCATTGCAGGTGGCGGCCCCCTACTCTCTGATCAGAACATGGGAAAATCTGCTGTCTCTAGATTTAAGGTTGAGCCTCTTAATGTTTTGTTCCGTTGTTCCTTAACTCTCAGTTACCACACGTGGTTGGTCTCTGAGTGCCTGTTACTAGGGTACCCTGTAAAACAACAGATCCCCGGCTGGTGTCCGAGGGGAACACACAGGGACCTGAGAACACAGACGGATGGGCTCTTGCCTGGTGTTCCGATGCCTGTGATCCTCATGAGCCATTTTCATCTTCTCCAAAGGAAACTAACTCAGCAGTGCAAGCTTTCCTCTGTGGGCCGCCCCTCCTCGGACTCCACTGCCCTCCTCCCCACAACCCAAGCCCCTCTACTGGGTTCACCCTAGCCAGGATATCTGCTACACCTGGGCAAGAGAAGCCGGTGAGGGAGGAGTTGAACTCGACCTTGACCCTGTGGCCTCAAGTCATACATAGGCTGGCTGTTTCTGAGAAGCCAGGCAAGCTGCATGGTCACCTTTGATGGAGAGGGCACCTGGATTTCCAACCTTGCCCAACCATCAGCCAATTATGTGGCCTGGGGGCTGGGGCGGGGGGCAACTGAAATCTGGGGCCTCAACTTCCTCGTGGGTAATTTGATCTACCCAATTATGCTCATGTTCCCGAAGACATAGAGACCGTGCTAGATAACACTGATTCACATTTTCAATCACTTTGGAATCTTCTGGATCAAAAAAAAAAAAATTTCCATTGATGCTCATGTCAATAACTTTTTTTTTAAAGTCACTTTTGAAAAAAATTATTTATTTATTTGAAAGTCAGAGTTACACAGAGAGAGAAGGAGAGGCAGAGAGAGAGAGAGAGAGAGAGATCTTCCATCCGAAGGTTCACTCCCCAATTGGCCGCAAAGGCCAGAGCTGCGCCAATCCAAAGCCAGGAGCCAGGAGCTTCTTCTGGGTCTCCCATGTGGGTGCAGGGCCCCAAGGACCTGGGCCATCTTCTACTGCTTTCCCAGGCCATAGCAGAGAGCTGCATCAGAAGTGGAGCAGCCGGGTCTATATGGGATGCCGATGCTTCAGGCCAGGGCGTTAACCCTCTGTGCCACAGCGCCAGCCCCAGTAACTCTTCTCAACACGTACCCCTCCCCCTCTGCAAAAAGTCATTTCTGATGTCAGTTTTGCCAGTGTCTATTCTCACTGTGCTTGTTTCTAATTTAGGGAGGGTGACACTGGTCTTGCATTTGAAGTAAAAATAGAAAAAGAAGTAAGTAGGTTCATTCAAATGAAAACATTTAGGACAACCACCTTAACATGTACACTCTAATGAACACGGTATATTAATTCTTTAGGAATTACTGTGCCACAAAGAGCAGCAAGAATCTGGATGGTGAGGACTGTGGTTCAGGAAACACCGATTTGGTGCTGACCCTGTCTGTTCAGCTCTCAGTTCTCAAGGGCACTCAGGTATCTGGCTGGGTGGCACCCATCCACTCTGGCTTCCTGTCCTCCATAGAGTCACTGACACAGCACCTGGAGGATGAAGTCCAAGTGTGACATAGTTCACAGTATGGCACGGGGCACCAGCCCATTCTCACTGCTCAGGCCGAACTGTGGCTGCAGCTACCCGCAGTTTTCTAACCATGATTTATGCTGGTTCCCCTGCTCCCCTACAACCTGTTTCTTAAAATATAAGGAAATGGGGACAAGCACCTTTGCCTTGGTGTAATTAAAAATAAGATTAGGTTGGGAACATCTGCTTTAAAAAAAAAAAAAAGAGATTTCTATTTAGTTTTGTCGCCAAAAGGTGGCGTCCTACCCCCATGCCCTTTATATTTCAAAACCCTTCTTGCTTTAATTTAACAAAAAGAAACTTCCAGTTGATTACTGATAAAGAAATTAAAATCTGCTCCCTACGAATGCGACGTGACAGTGTTGAAAATGAGCAATATGTTAAGCCACAGTTAAGTTTCCTTGTAACGTAAACCAAATGGACATGAAGTTCTTTAATAAGGCAGCACATGAGACACAAAAATCTGTACGAAATTGAGTACGCTGTATCATGGGATCCACAACCAGGATTCCCTTTTGTCTGCAAAACTTGTTGCCAACCTGCCTTTAGTCCCCACTTGCAAGTGGATGTAGAATTTCAGGCAGTTGTTAAAATGCAGAGTAAGGTCAGCAGCCACGTAAAGCCCGTTTTGGTATGACCGCAAGAATAATTTTTAAAAAGCACACTGCTCAATCTGAAAAACAAGATCAGAACATGAATTATTCTTTAGAGACTGTGAATACATTTGTCACATTTAAATAAATTGCTGTTCCTCTGTGTTATAATTCTACAACCGGGCACATACCATAAACATGTTGTATTTGGCATAAACATTTTAGAAATTAAAAACAATCCCCCCCCATAAACTGGCTACTTTATAGATTTCCACGGAAATCCATGTGAATTTGGCACATGGAACTTTCGGTGATGTCAAAGGGTTGTTGGGAGCATTAGCTGAGCAGACATACAGATTTTAGGTCGGTGCCTAGGTAAGCATTGGATAAATATCAGCTGTAGAGAGGGATTTTAGTTTTGCATTGCTCGGTGCCCCCCCCCCAGTGGTGTCATTTTAGTATCTTAGACTATTAATGAAGACATTAACTAAAATGCACTGTATTTACTTAGCGTCTAGCCGAAAAGATCTGACGGTTGGTCTGGCTTGGAGAGCGTGGAACCCTGCACAGGAGGCGCATTCTTACTTGAAGCCAACTAGGCTGCAATTACCTTAGCCCAGCGTCTCTTTCTCGGGCTTTATCTTCTGCAGCAACCGTGAATGGCTGTGTTGTTTATTTATTTATCTTTGACTTGCAACGCAGGTGCAATGTTCAGGTGGCAATTTTATACTATCACTGAAATTGAGATCTAAGGTCGTCTGTTAATGTTTAACGATGTTTGTAAAAAGACATTATACACAAGAATCGTATACTCCCCTTTCCAGGAAATTTATTATCTACCACCGTGCTGGTCTCCAAACCAACGGGACAGTAAGCCTCCCCTGTGCCCACTCAGGGGCAGGCAGCGCTGTGCGGGAATCCAGGAGGGTGGCTTTTAATATACTGTGATAAATAACTGGCCTGCTGTACCGGCCAGTCGGTGGCTGGGAACGCTGGTTCCGGAGTTTGGTAGCATCTGGGATTGATGTATCTGGAAAAAAAAAAAATAATAATAATTTGTGTTAACAACAACAACAACAACACGCTGCAGAGATCCTCTAAGTCAGGTTTTGAATAACACAAAGTAGGCTTCGAAAAAAGTGGGAGAAACTGGAGTGTCTCCTTGCTTCTCGAACGCTGGATTTCCAAACATTTCAGTGAGGCTCCTGCTGGAGTTCTCTAACATTCCAAATTCAACCCAACTTCCAAACAGCAAAAAGGAGGGGGTGGGGGGGAGGGAAAAAAAAAAAAACTCACCTTTTCAAAGACTCGGACAAAGCTTTCTGCACGTGACCGGTCTCCGGGCGAGCAGGTAATTTGTGTTAAACAACCGACCGACACGCCAGCCCCGGGCGCTTTCCTAAGCGGCGCCACACGCTTCCCCCGCAGCGGGTCCCGCCGCGCATTCCGGCAGCGACTCCGGCCCGGCCCGGCCCGACACCGCGGGCCAGGAAGCCCCTCGCCCGCGGGCTGTGTGCGCGCTCGGGGAGCGGGGGTTTGTCCTTCGGCTGAACTTTCACCTCGCGAACTCGCCTCCTTTCATTGGACGGAGCGCGGAGAGCGAGCGCCGGGCGGCGAGGGAGGGCCGCGGGCGCGGCGCGAGGGGGCCGCGGGCGCCCGGGCCGCCCCCGCCACTGTCACCGCGGCCAGCACTTTCACTTTTAACCCGCGGGGCCGCGCCTCCGCGCCGCGGCCGCCGGCGTGCGGAGCGCCGAGCCCGGCCCGCAGCTCCCGCGGCTCCGGCCCCGCCGCGCGTCCCCGGGGGTGGGGGGAGCCGAGTGCGCCCCCCGAGCCCCGTCTTCTCGGGAATCCCCCCCGCCCCCCGGACCCCCTCTTTTTCCAGGTCTTTCCTGCCGGACTGCCCCGGCGGTCCCTTTCCTCTCGGGGCCCGGGGCTCCACCGCGCGCGGGCGCCCCCTGCTCCCCACCCAGCTCGGACCCCCGCCCCCACTCCCCACCCCCCCAGCTTTGGCAGTTGCTTTTTTTTTTTTTTTGCTGCGAGCCCTGTTGTTTACCCAGCAGGTGGATGTGACGTCAGGGACGCACAACAGCAAAAAATAACAACATCTCCCTCCGCGACGTGTTGGCCTCTCGCGCGCGCCTTATTTATTTATTTGTTCCGGGATGCCGGGGGCGGGGGGTGGGGAGCTGGGGGCGGCCGCCGGCGCCCCGGGGTGGGGGGCCGGGAGCCGGGGTGCGGGCTCGCGCGCGGGACGCGGGGCGGAGCGGGGTCGGGTGGGGGGCGACACCCGGCGGCGAGCTGGCGGGGGGCGCCCCAGGCCCGGCGCTGGGCGCGCCGCAGCCGGCGCCGGCGCTGGCCGGGCTCCGGGAAGCTAGTCCGGAGCGGAGGAATCTATTGTTATTTATTGTGTGGCGGCCGCACGCTGTACTCGCGGCGGCCGCACGCTGTACTCGGCCCTCGCCCGGGAGTGCGTGTGTGTGTGTGTGCGCGCGGTGAGTGTGTGCGCGGGGCGCGCGCGCGGGCGGGAGTGGGCGCGCGCGGGGAAAAGGCCCGAAAACACCTTAGTTTGCACCGAGAGACCATTTGCAGCGGGTGAGTTTGTATTTTTCCATTTCTGCTCCACTTTTTCCCAAGCCGCCTTCTGCCTTGTTTCCGGCACTTTAAACAACAACAACAATCAGCACAAAAAAAAAAAAAAAAAAGGAAAATGAAAAAAAAAAAAGAAAAAAAACTACTTTTCACCTCCAGGCTCCACGTGTGTTTCCCCCAGTCCTCCCCTCTCTACCCGTCTCCCCCGGGTCCAGGCCCTGGCTCCGGAGTGGGTGGGGGCCTCGGGCCGGCCGGAGGGTGGAGGGAGCCCCGGCGGCGCCCGCACCCTGGGCCTATTTGCATAAGTCAACCGGGGGGGCGGGGGCGGCTGCGGGGAGGCGACATCGCTGCGCCCTCGGCCCCTCCACGCCTCTCTCCCTGCGCTCCCCCCACGAGCGCCCGGGGAGGCAGGAATCGGGCAGCCCAGGCCGCCTGTCGCAACTTTCAGTACCCAGCTTCGGGGTCCGGTGGCGGCCCGGGCGCGGGGCGAATGCGGGAGCCGGGGTCGCGGCCGCGGCGGGAGGGGGCGCGCGCCGGGTGCCTCCGGAGCCTCAAGTTGGAACTTGGAGCAAACTTTTGCCCTTGCTTCTCCGCGGGTGTGTGCCCCTTGGTTTGCCCCGCGGGTCCCGGCGGACGGAGTGGGGACGCTTGCGCCGTGGGCCCCGTGCGCCTAGGAACGTCCCCGGTGCCACGCGCGACTTGCTGCGTACCCCGCGGCGGGGGCATTTCTCGCACCCGGTACCCCAACCCTCGACAACACACGCGCGCGCGCACCCCCCAGCCACACGCGCACCCCGCCGCGCACTTGCCCCCCGCGGCCTCGGCTTCCCCGAGAGACGCGCCCGCGACAGCCGTGGCCAGTTCTGCGGGTGGGCGCGGGAACCGGGTGCGCTGCGGGCGGTCTCCGCGCCCCCCACCCGTCTTCCCCCACCCCCAGCACGCACACACTTTCTGGTTTTACCCCCCTCTTCAGCTCGGGGGACCAGGAGGGGGGGGATTTCCTAAGTCCTCCTGCTGCCCAGCGACGCGCGCTTGTCGCCGCGTCCCGGCGGCCGATGGCTCTCGGTCCCTTGCCTGCGCGCAGCCTTCCTCCCGGGCTCCCAGCTCCGCATCCCCGTCCCGCAGAGACGACTCTCCGGAGCCGGCGTGCGCTTCGGGTGGGGACCGCGGCGGTGCCGGCGGCGGCGGCGGGAGCCGAGGAGTCTGCCAGCTGCCGCGGGGTCGCGGTCATTTGCTGCCTCCGCCTCCCCTCGCCCCCGCCTCCCGCCCCCCTCCTCCCCAGACACCGCCGCGCTCGGAAACTTTGATTCTTTCTCCTTTTTGGCCCTCGGAGAGCCCCCCTCCCCACCTGTTGTGAGCTCCGCCCTGGTCCCCGGAGACTGGCGGTGACACACACACACACACACACACTCACGGGCGCCGGGGAGCTCCGCGCCCAGAAACAAAGTCGCATGCCCCCTCCCGAGTGTTTGCTTCGGAATCGCTGCCGGCGGCACCCCCCACCCCCCGTTCCCGCGCAGCTCCCGCCCCCCGTGAGAATAAAGACTAAATAAACAGTTGTAACTCCAAACCTCGCGCCTGCGATCGTGTCCCTATCCCACCCCCTTCCCCCGTTCCTCCCCCTCCTTTTTTGTTGTTGCAACTTTGTAAGATCCCGGGGAAGGTGCGGGCCGATTTCCCGGTCTCGGGCTCTGTGCCGGGATTCCCTTCCCTCCACGCGCACTGGCGGGTCCCGGGAGCCCGCCGCCCTCCCGGCCTCGGCCCCTGAGGCTACTCCTCCCGTCCCGTCCCCTTCAGTTCCCCTCCCCCGGCCCCCGCCCCCCAACCTGCGCGGGGAAGACTTGCTGAGGGTCGCCCCGGTTTCTTGTCGACCACAGAACCCGAAAGTTTGCAAGAGGAAGCGAGCGCGCGGCGAGCGAGCGGGCAAGGGGCAGCGGCAGCGGCGCCGGGGACCATGGTGCTGCCGGCGCCTCCTCCGCGGGCGTGAAGGCGGCGCCCCCTCTGCCTCCCCGGACTCGGCGGGTAAGTCGAGGCGGCTGCGGGCGCCGGGGCGCGTGGGCAAGGGACAGCCGAGGGCCCCGGGCGGCGCCGGGGGCTTCTCCGCGCCCCCCGAGAGCCAGCCTGGGCGGCGGGAGCGCAGCGGAAAGACGGGCGGAGCGAGGACCATGCCCATCCTCAAGCTGGTAGGTGCTTCGAAAGGCTGGGCTTACTCCCCCTTTCCCCCCGTTTTTCTTCCGTAAATCCGAAAATGTGGAGATCAAAGTTTAGCGTGGAGTAGAAAGTGTTTGGATAAAATATGGTGACATCCCTCGCTCGCCTTCTCACCCCACTCCCCCTTGGATCTATTAATTATTTCCAAGTCATTGTGTCCAAATACCCTAGCTGGGCTGATTAGAAAGGGTATTGATTTTACTCTGGGCTCATCCCACGTTCTCGTCTTAATTCATTTTCTTTTTGCTCGACCAGAAGACCCGAAATGAAACTTGCTTCTTCCTCTTCCCTCCGTCCCCAGCCGCCCCCCCACCCCAGCCCTCCTCGGCGAGGCTTGGGCAGAATTATGAAATTAATGCGGACCTTGCATTTGGTTGCTTTTGAGCTTCTCCAGGGCAGGGCTCAGGGCCTGGGGTAGCCCTCCTGGACAGGCGCAGGTATTCTCCAAGTTGGGATCGCCTTTTTGGCAAGAACGCCGGAGGAGCCCTCTGGATTCCCAGTGGAAGGAGTGCGTTCACCCCATCCACCGGCTTTCGGAGACCAACACCAGAGGGGCTTAGGACCGGCACAATAGCTGGGCTCAGGAAACCTCAAGGATGTTTAAGGAATTTTCCTACTACTGCAAACATTGGAGAATCTTTGCACAATTTGTGCCTTGCATCTCCTTCCCTCCCCCTACCCACCCACCCCAGTCCCGTTTTTTCCACAATGAGAATCCGTTGTGGGGGGAGGTGGGATGTCTTAGCCAGGATTTGAAGTGGAATAGTAGGACCTCAGGTGTTTTCCCCCCAGGGTAGCCTGCCTAACTGTGGAGTTCCTGCTATTTTCTGACCCAGAGAGAAATGTGGCCAGTCTTCTTTAGAATTCCACTAGAGTTTTGACTCTGAAAATGGAAATACTCATCTCTTTGAGTCCAGAAAAAGAAGACTGGGTTCAGGCTTTAACCATTGGGGAAATGGATTGTTTTTTCTTCTTCTTCTTCGTGTCTCTATTTGGGAGAGGTCTCATAATTAAAAAGCATTCAAAATATAGAAAAGAACTCCACTAGTTACCATTCAAAAGGTGTCAGCTAGAATCTCCCTGCAAAGGGGAAAAAAAAGTCTAACTTCTTGCCACTGGCTGCATCCCTCTCCCACCCCCCTTAGCCTCTGGATTAGTCATTGTATGAGAAAGAGAGAGAGAAAAAAAAATCACTTTTTTTGGGGAGGGGGGAAAAGTAAAGTAAACAGCCTCCAACTGCTGAACCTTGACAACCCAAATTAAGGAAGCAGGAGAGATCAAACAGAACTGCTGCTGGGTGGTTGTCAGGAGCTGCCGCACAGAGAACCCTGGACTATTCGATCACGCAGCAAGGCTATATGTTCACTTATGCAGAAATGGACCATTGCAAATGCTGATCTTTGTTGTGCAAGGGAAGGCTCACTTGGAAGGAAATACTCAGCCCCTCTCCGGGCAGCATTTGAGTTCCTGATGGATGCTGAGTTGCTAAACAAGTTATTATTATTTTTTTAAATGCATCGTTTTTCACAAGGGGAATGCACCCAAAAAGGCATTAAAAGAATATTAAGCCATCCGGAGGCAGCCTTGCTACCCAGAACGGTGCAGTGGAATTCTTTTTACCAACATTAGACTCCTACACTAGAGTTAGATAACGTTTTCTCACATCCAGTTTAGAAGATCTGCCTTGTCAGAGAAGCCAAGGTTTTGTATGTGCGGGTTTTAAATCTGATGTGAAGCTCAAAAAAAAAAAAAAAAAAAGTCCCTGGTGATGAAGTTTTGTGTCAGCCCACTCTTGGAATTTAAAAATGAGAGAGAGAGAGAGAGAGAGAGAGAGAGAGAGAAATTCTCCAGATTAGACATAACCCCTTTTTTCAGATTGACATTCAACATGACCAGGTTGCTTGCTTTTATTCAAGTTCTTTGTAACTTGTCCTTGCTTGTTGTCTAGGAAAATTTAACTGCTTTACATTTTTAAAGGCAGTAGTAACAGTAATTACTTTAGCATTTTGTTTTCACAGGTTTATCAAAGTATAATGAAAGAAACATCAGCTATTCAAATTAACTCTCTCAAATTAAGGGGTGTATATTGCTGTAGATGTCTGTAAGATTTTATGTTTATATTTAAATCCTGGAGTATAAATTGTGTAGCACTTTTTTTTTTTTTTGCTCTAAAGCTATCCCCCAAATTAAATGTTATTTTTAATTAAGTAAAACAAAGTAGGACCAGGACAAGTAAATACGTACAGCAGAACTGTCATTCGAAAATTGTATTTTTAATTAGCAAGTGTTGATCACATAGTAAGCACTTCATGTTTTTTTATAAGCCAGTTTCATAACCACAGTGCACGACGTGTTTCAGAGTCTGTAGGTTTTATTGAATATACCTTTATTGTATAATTATGCAATGTGAGTTAAACATACACAAGGATGCTGTTGGGCAATTTTCTGCAATCTGTAATGTTTTTAAAAAGCTATAAATATTTTCTAGTTAAATCATTTGAACCAACAATAGCAAAAGTTAACTGAGTTAATATTGAGCCCAGCCATGTTTTTTTTTTTTTTTTTTTTCCTTCCCCTTGTTACTAAGTTTTTCCTTGGTTCTCTTAAGAATATAGCTTCGGCCTTGTGAATTGCCTGCCTAGGCGCTACCAAAGGGTATTTCGTTTTCAGCAGTAGTTTAAATTAACAGAAGAATTGTGATATTTCCCCAACAAATATATTTATACCACAGCATGGCCAATGCCAAAATTCAGAAAGGGAAAGGAGAATATAGCAGATGTGACAACTTCTTTTGAACTCAGCTTCCTCTTTGCAGCCAATCTTACTGGGCAAATTTATTTGGTTTTCATGTTTTTTCTTAAGGCTCCAACTCAGTCTGGAGACGTTATCTTGTAAGGTTCTGCATCACAAAAAAACGCACGTGTGTTCAGACAAGGTTAGGTGTTACAGTACCGATCACATTTCAGTGGCTATGCCAAGAATATTTGCAGGGCATACAAAGAGTTTTGTCTTTTAAAAATAATTTTAGGCACACGTTAATAAAATTTAAATAGATTGCAGGCTGTCAGAAAATAGTATAAATCTTGTTTATGATTCAGTTACTTTAAGGTACTTACATTAAAGCAACTCATTTAACCCCTGACTGAAGGGCGCTAAGTGGGGAGGGAGGCCCTCCCGAGAGCTCCCGCTGCCCTTTGCTCTCGCGATCATCTTAAATTACTACAATTTAATTGCAACTTCAAGACACTGGGTGCGAGCAGTTCCTGTACCACCAAGAAAAGCTTTCCAGAACATAGCCAGGTTTGCACAGGTGGTATTTCTGGTCTTTTTTTTTTTTTTTTTTTAAATTTTGCTAAGGGCTTTTTCCTTTCTTATCCTATTAGATGTCATACCTCTTTTCTAGATCTCAGTGATAGTAAATGTCATTTTTGCTAAGCCAGCAGTATTGGCCATTTTTATTTAAAGTGTGTTTTTTGAGCCTACAGTAGATAAAGTCCTCAAGCAGGTAGGGGTTTGTTTGCTAAAGAAAATAACCTCAAGAAAAGCATTTGTTGAATAGACAGGTGGACTTTATGCAAGAGCCAACATATACATTTACTGTTTACAGGGTCTTTTTTTTTCTTCTTTTAAGTTGATGCTGGTAAGTCCCCGCAGGTGATCAAACACTGAGTTTTTGAGAGAGGCCAGCAAGGCAGCTAAGTGTGCACGTGGGCCCGTGTGTTCTCCAAGTGATCTTTCTTGTGACTTGTTAACCCTAGATCAAGGCCACTTTGCTATACATGTGTTATCCAAAGAGCCATCTTAAACTGATTTTTAAAAGCATTTCTTTCCTGTGGGACTTGGATGAATTAAGTAAGAGGTGCTAAGAGCAGGAACAGCAGCAGGCCATAGAGGAGGTGAGTTCCTGAAACAGGGGTGAACCTGGCCAAATTTGGGGTGTCTTATGCATAATAGTTGTGTGTGTATGTGTGTGTGTGTGTGTTTTATATTTCTGGGACATGTTTAGTTTATTTCAGTGTGCATGTGACCATGTGGTTAATGGAAATTAAGCAGGTTTGGCTTGTGTCCCCAACCTCAAAATAAATGCTGTAAGGAACGTTTGATTTGAAGAAGTGCTTTGGTTTTTGCATCCCATAGATAATGCTTTTGCAATTAGGGCTACAAGGCTGGTATTCTGCAAAGAGGAAGTAAGCAGGGGTCAAGTGCGTGGCGGTCAGGAAAGACAGTTAGACAGGTTTCTTTGTTTCTTTAATAAATTATTCTTATTAATTACAGTCCGTTTGTGTGAAGGCATTTTTCAAGCCTTGTTTAGAAGTCAGCTCCCATTCAGGAGAAGGTGCTGCCAGAAGCCGGGTGCTTGTCTGTGCACTGGTGTTCTCCCCAGCCCTGAAATCTCTGGACCAGACTGGCTCGTGGATGTCTCTGCAAGGCTTGTTTTTCTTTCTGCAATCCCCTGACGCCAGTTTGTAATGTGCGCCCTGCCCTGTGCACAACAGGTGTTTGTTTGGCAGTTATTTTATGGGACTTAAAGCGAGACAAATGTTTCCGACCTTGCCAGCCACTGGGAGAGCGAGCTGCCTTGGAAGGAAGAATCTAGTACCTGAACAGGTGTAATTTTTTTTTTCTCATGACCCTCTCCAGGCCCCCCCCCCCCGCACCCCCCCCCCCCTCAATCTGGGAAGGAAAAAACGGAGCTCAATTTAGTGCCTTGAAATTCA